ACCTTGACGGTCAATGTCACTTAATTAGGTAATTATGTATGGCAAGGATGAAGACCAGAAACAAATCGGTCAAAACTTGTGAATTGGCAAGTAATTTGGAAATTTTATTCAAAACTACCAGATTTGAAGCAAGAGGCGATGGAAAATGGCCTGTGAATTAGTTTTTGAAACATAATACAAGATGTAAGACAAGCTTAATCATTAAAGTTTAATTTAGCTCCCAAAACTCATTTTTGAACGATAAAAATAACCATTTTTGACGAGTGTTTTTGTAGTATATACAGATGTTTTCCGACGAACTCCGTGACAGTTATCACAAGAACTCCTGAACAAGTTATCATAAGAACTCCATCCTCCGTGAAAAGGGAAAAAACAAAATAACATCATCATTATGTCATGTCTGAGCGTTAGAGCTGTCATCGATATCGACAATATCGATGTATCGTTGATATTTTTTTGCCGATCAATAATCGATACACATTTTAAAAAAATCGATACTTTTGACTAATAAATTAAATGTCTAGAAATTGTAAAATTCACCCAAAATATATACAGAAGCAGTTATTTATATCTAATGTTATGCTTTTGTTATATAGTGGAATTATTTCATAGCAATGGTGACAAAAAATATTGTCTGGAAAAAATCATGCAATGGACAAGACACTCAGTACAGAATATGTTTTTGACTGAAATCATTGAAACAGGTATGAAAGTGAATGACAGACATGTGAGTATAGGATATTATCTATATATCGGTGTATCGTTGATTTTAGTCACTTGATATCGATATATCGTTGATATGCTTTGCACTGAATCAATGACAGCTCTACTGAGCGTAGGGTTCGAACCTATGAGTGCAAACCATAAGAAGTTACAGTGACCTTGATTTACCAACTGAACCACTACGATGGTACACATTTTTATTAGAAATTATACTATATATAGTTGTTGACACTTTCAATCTCCGATAATATGCAGACTTACCCTTTAATGGACTTTCCCAAGTACCGTTAAGACCAAATTATCATCTCGGGATAATAGGTAAAACAGCTTTTTTTGAAGAAGAGAATATAATACAAGATAAGAAGTACCATTTGAAACAACTTTATGGCAAATTCGGTAAAGTTGTTGGTATACGATACGATTTAAAATTTTACCACGAGTTCGAGCCTCAGAAATTGTCTAACATTTTTCTTTCCTTATTTTTTTCCCCAATTTTATGATACATGTATATGCAAATGAATTGGGATATCAAGGTAGTTTTGTTATAATATCTAATAATTTTAATATACCGATAATAATATTTTTATCTTGTGTCTTGATCAGTATGTAGTAGTCATAGTACTTGTGCAGTGCACGGGTATTTCGTGCCAGCAGAACTATAGTTGAAACAATTTGTGTACTTGTATGCAGTATAAGGTTTTACCAACTTGCTAGATATGCCTACATTGAAAACAAAAGAAAAAGTGAAATGAGAAGTAAATAAAAAATAACACAACACAGTAAAAATATTCACCCGAATAACGACTAATTTACACTTGTGCTAGCAATCAGAATCCCAACCATTCAACCTTTCAGTTTCATCCAATAACAAGGAGGTAATCATTTAGGGAATGACCATAACCCCATCTGTAATCATGAGTTATTGTTAATAAATGTGTAAGCAAAAGTTATTTTGTAAAGTCAGTAAAGGATGACTTATACTCATGGATTGGACGGGGATAATAAATTGGATGGGACCCGAAAAAAATGTTTTAAAACTTCATAAAGGACCATTCATATTTGTTACAGAAATTGTACACCATATATTAGCCTGCGTTCCAAACTGTCATTTTTATGTGCTTCTGTTCGGCTGATCGATATTACAAGTATGAAATAATGCGTATGTATGTAAATATCAACGCCTGAATCCCAGGCGTACCATATATATGACAAGTTTAGGCCGCTACCTTCACAAAAATGATGAACGATCTCTCAAAGTGATCCTTTGCTTATAAATCTTTTAAATAACAAAAAATTCATTAAATACCATTTCTTTTTAAATCATTTCAATAACTGTAAAATCTTAAAAGGCCACAAACTTCACAAAAATTATAAAAAAAAGAAAACATTTATTTTTTCATTTAAAATATCCTTTAAATAACAAGAATTGTCTTTAGAACTTAATAAAATGCTGTTTTTATTGTTTCAAAACATTAAAATTTTTGGCCGTCAGGCCGCTGGGCCGCCAACTTCACAAAAAATGACAAAATAAAAAGTTCTCTGAAAGTGATTTTTTCTTTTTATATATCCTTTAAATAACAAGAATTATCTTCAAAACTTCACTAAATGCCGTTTTATAGTTAAAATAACATTTCTACATCATTAAAATTTTTGGCCGCTCGGCCGCCAACTTCACAAAAATGACAAAATAAAAAAGTTCTCTGAAAGTGATTTTTTCTTTTTATATATCCTTTAAATAACAATATATATCTTTAAAACTTCATTAAATGCCGTTTTATTGTTAAAATAACATTACTACAACATTAAAATGTTTGGCCGCTGGGCCGCCAACTTCACAAAAATGACAAAGTAAAAAAGTTCTCTGAAAGTGATTTTTTCTTTCTATATATCCTTTAAATAACAATAATTATCTTTAAAACTTCATTAAATGCCGTTTTATTGTTGAAATAACATTTCTACAACATTAAAATTTTTTGCCGCTGGGCGGCCAACTTCACAAAAATGACAAAATAAAAAAGTTCTCTGAAAGTGATTTTTTCTTTTTATATATCCTTTAAATAACAATAATTATCTTTAAAACTTCATTAAATGCTGTTTTATTGTTAAAATAACATTTCTACAACATTAAAATTTTTGGCCGCCAGGCCACCAACTTCACGCCGCCAGGCCGCTGGGCCGCCAACTTCACGCCGCCAGGCCGCTGGGCCGCCAACTTCACACATCTCTAGAAGATTGGGTTTTCAAAAAATAAAAAAATATTCAAATGTATTAAACAGTCGAAAACTAAATAAATCATGCACTTTTATATTGTATAATACTTAAGCTAATTGATTTATTTAATTAAGGCAAGGTAGAGAACAAAGGTAGCGAACTCACTATGAAATACAATGTACATGTAATAGAAAGAGCACCGAAACACGAGGCTATCTGATTTGTACGAGGAGGCGTAGCCCCCCCCCCCCCCCGAGTATAAATCAGATTGCCGAGTGTTTTGGTGTTCTTTCTCTTTTGTATCATAGTCAAACATAAAAACACGTTCCCTGTTGTCACAATTTTAAACCCCGGGAAAAAGTAACCAATGATCGAGCATCTGAATATGATATTTCTGCCGCTTTCCCTTTCTCTGCCGTCACAATATGTAAACCCCAGCAAAAATGAGCCAATCAACGGGCATGATCTGGAGTGCTGATACCTGCACTCCAGTTACCGCACTGTGCATGTATATGTATACGATTTAACTTTGACACTTTTTCAACAGAAAGGTCCCCAAACTATGATACAAGAGAGGTAAAACTTATCATAGAATACCATCTCTTAACAGTAAAAAAAACAATTATGGCAAATAAAATACTTATCTGAATGTTAGATGACGGAATTCGGCATTTTAAAATATTTTGTTTTTGACGGCGCGCATGTTGTTTTTTTGCCGTATAGAACAGCCAAATTTATGGTGTAAAAAGTTTTACCGAATACAGCTCACCGTATACGTCAGGATGCTGCATGCCACCGTATATGCTTTTCTTGGTGCTTCCTCCAATGGCTGTTTTTTTTCATCGGTTATGCTTTTCGTCGAAATGTAAATTGAGTTAAATACTTTACTGGTGACTTCAAGAATTTTAAACAATAATATTATTCAAATTCACTTCCATATCATTTAAATTTTCAAACGAAATTTCTTTCATTTAGAAATAAAGTTCAGTAGTAGTAATCGCAGTAGCAGCAACAGAAGGAGTAGCAGCAGCAGGAGTAGCAAGCAGTAGTAGCAGTAGCAGCAACAGAAGGAGTAGCAGCAACAGAAGGGGTAGCAGCAGTAGCAGCAGCAGTAGCAAGCAGCAGCAGTAAAATCAGTAGCAGCAGCAGAAGGAGTAGCAGCAACAGTAGTAGCAGTAGCAGCAACAGAAGGAGTAGCAGCAACAGAAGGGGTAGCAGCAGCAGTAGCAAGCAGCAGCAGTAAAATCAGTAGCAGCAGCAGAAGGTGTAGCAGCAACAGTAGTAGCAGCAACAGAAGGAGAAGCATCAACAGAAGGGGTAGCAGCAGTAGCAGCAGCAGTAGCAAGCAGCAGCAGTAAAATCAGTAGCAGCAGCAGAAGGAGTAGCAGCAACAGTTGTAGCAGTAGCAGCAACAGAATGAGAAGCATCAACAGAAGGGGAAGCAGCAGTAGCAGCAGCAGTAGCAAGCAGCAGCAGCAGTAAAAGCAGTAGCAGCAGCAGAAGGTGTAACAGCAACAGTAGTAGCAGTAGCAGCAACAGAAGAGAAGAAGCAGCAATAGAAGGAGTAGCAGCAGTAGTAGCAGCAGTAGCAAGCAGCAGCAGTAAAAGCAGTAGTAGCAGCAGTAGCAAGCAGCAGCATTAGTAGAAGCAACAGAAGGAGTAGCAGCAGTAGCAACAGCAGTAGCAGCAGTAGCAGCAGTAGTAGCAGTAGCAGAAGTAGCAGCAGAAGTAGAAGCAGCAGAAGTAGCAGTAGTATCAAGCAGCAGCAGTAGCAAAAGTAGCAGCAGTAGTAGCAACAGCAGCAGCAAAAGTAGCAGTAGCAGTAGTAGGAGTAGCAGTAGGAGCAGTAGCAGTCGTTGCAGTAGCAGTCGTAGCAGTAGCAGCAGAAGGAAGTAGCAGCAGCAAAAGTGGCATCAGTAGCAGTAGCAGCAGGAGTAGCAGAAGCAGCAGCAGCAGAAGTAGCTGTAGCAGGAGAAGAAGCAGCAGCAGTAGGAGTAGAAGTAGCAGCAGTAGGCTGTAGCAGTAGTAGGAGTAAAAGTAGCAGGAGTAGCAGAAGCAGCACCAACATGAGTAGCAGTAGCAGAAATAGGGATGGGAGCAGTTGCAGCAGAAGGAGTAGCAATAGCAGCATGAGGATTAGAAGTAGTAGTAGCAGCCGTAGCAGTAGCAGCAGTAACAGCAGCAGTCGTAGCAGCAGCAGTAGAAGGAGGAGTAGTAGTAGCAGCTGTAGCAGTAGCAGCAGTAGGAGTAGGAGTATCAGCAGTAGGAGTACCAGCAGCAAGAGGGGTAGGAGTATCAGCAATAGGTGTAGCAATAGCAGCAGAAGCAGGAGTAGAAAAAGCAGCAGCAGGAGTAGCAGTAGCAGCAGCAGGAGTATGAGTATCAGCAGTAGGAGTACAAACAGCAGGAGTAGGAGTAGCAGCAGAAGGGGTAGGAGCAGTAGTAGGAGGTGTAGCAGCACCAGTAGACGTAGAAGTAGCAGGAGTAGCAGCAACAGGAGTAGTAGTAGGGGTAGGAGCAGTAGAAGGAGTAATAGCAGGAGCAGCAGGAGGCGTAGCAGTAGTAGCAGCAGCAGCAGGGGTAGCATTAGCAGCAGCAGGAGTAGAAGTAGCAGTATCACGCGTAGCAGCAGCAGTAGACGTAGAAGTAGCAGCAGTAACAGGAGTAGCAGCAGCAGGAGTAGTAGTAGGGGTAGGAGCATAGCAGGAGTAGGAGCAGTAGCAGTAGTAATAGCAGTAGTAGGTTTAATAGCAGGAGCAGTAGACGTAGAAGGAGTAGCAGCAGCAGGAGTAGTAGCAGTAGTAGGAGTAGTATCAGGTGTAGCAGCAGCAGTAGACGTAGAAGTAGCAGCAGTAGCAGGAGTAGCAGCAGCAGGAGTAGTAGTAGGGGTAGGAGCATTAGCAGGAGTAGGAGCAGTAGCAGTAGTAGGAGTAATAGCAGTAGTAGGTGTAATAGCAGGATGAGTAGCAGTAGCAGCAGCAGCAGGGGTAGCATTAGCAGCAGCATCAGGCGTAGCAGCAGATCAAATATCTGTTTCAATAATCTTTTATTGTATTCTTTAAACAAGTATGTCAGGTTGTCGGGGACATTTGAAGCAACAAATACCTCAATAAATTTCTCCTTACTATGAAATATATTCTTTATTTTGACCATCGTACATAATAATATTGTCTACTCCGCAATTCTTTATTATTCGAACAAAAAGTACAACATACACAAATAGTTTAAACACATTGACATTTATTCATGCTATATATATTTAACACATTGACATTTATTCATGCTATATATATTTATTTATTCTTAAACAACTCTTAACGCCTTTGCCGAAGAAAATCTAACTCAATGCAATTTTGAAAGGCACATCCCATATGTCCCCACATGACATCTTTCGTCGACTCGCCTTTCGTACATCCTATCCTCTCCAACGGTGTCATCAGGGTGTGAATCTCCACTGGAAATAAGGAGTTTAAGTCTACAAAAACAAGTACAAATGTTGCTGCAATGCAGCAATTGAGAAGCTCTGCGCAAAAAAATGCGCTCATTACAGATACCTTACCAAATTATTCCTACGCACAGGTCATGTTATGC